GGGGGAAGCCCCCCCCGGGCGGGGCCCCCCTGCCAGTCTCTTGGGCCCGGCTGGGGCTGCTGCTCCAGGAAGCCGTGCCCCCCACTGCCCACCGGGGTTGGGTTCCTGTGGTCCTCCTATGGCGCCTGCACGCCCCGCTGCCAGCCCCGGTCCTATCCCTGCGCCGCCCTCTGTGTCCCCGCCCGCTGCTCCCTGACCGCACACCCCACCATTGGCCCTGGTCCTCCCAGACCAGGAACCCAGGGTGTTCTCAGGGCTGCTGCCTGGGGTTTGCATAACGCCAGGGACGCCCTGGCCCCACCGGCGTTGGCGACTGCTGGTCTCAAGATGGCAGCCCTCTTCAGGTCCCTGTGGTGGCTGCAGGAGTCAGAGTGTGGCTGTAACCCACCACCCCGGAGCAAGTTAGTGTAAGCGGGTGGTGTCTCACACTGGGTGCTGCGCTGGTCTGCATAAGGGGACACGGGGACAGTGCCCGGCTGCTGTCCGCGGGGACTGCCCTGTGGCCTCACTCCCTGCGCTGGTGGGCGAGGCGGGGCTGCCAGGCTGGGCTGTGGCTCCCTCGCTCCTGGGTCCGGGCCTCCCTGGGCCGTCTGTCCCCCCACCCCACCCCCCCGCAGCTGCAGCCCGGGAAGTGGGCCGGCGTGAAGGGGCACAGCCTGGGCACCATTCTCTTCCGGGGCAGCCCTGTTGCCCTCCTGGCCAAGGGTGGTGGGCAGGGGATGGCCTTTAGGGCACTGGCCCGACTTGTGGGAAGAAGTGGTCCAGCTCTTGACACCACTTCCCCGCTCCACAGACAGAGCTCCTCTAAAGTTGTTTTGGTGGTGTTTTTTGTTTGTTTGTCTTTGCAATAAGGCACATGTGCTCACTGGAGAAAGACTAAGTGAGAAATCAGCCCCTGGGGGAATGCCATGCCACAATCCCTTCTCCATTTTCTTCTCAGGATTTTGGGCATGCACACGTGCCCAGTGTATTTTCTTTTTTTTATTTTATTTTATTTTCTTGGAGAGTTTTTTGCTATAGGGCACATGAGCTCGCCAGAGAGACAGAGAGACAGAGACAGAAAGCGAGAAATCACCTCCCGGGGGGATGGTCACGCTGCAATCCCTGCTCCTCCATTCTCCTCTCGGGATCTTGGGGACGCACGCACACGCGCCCGGCGTGAGTTTAAGCCACCGGGTCCAGAACATGAACCGCGGTTGATTACGTGGGAGTCCAGCGACATAGCCATTATGCTAATTGCTGGTCCCTGCCCAGTGTATTTTCAAGCTGCTGGATCTGGGACTTGAACCGCGGTTAGCCATGTGAGAATCCAGTGCCTCCTTTATTTTTCTGATTAAATAAAAATCATGGCATGTAGCAAAGTTGGAAATTCAGACAAACGGAGAGAAGTGAAGCCCGTCTGCGGCTGCTGCCCTGAGGTGCCTGTGCGGTTGAGGCCCAGGCCTGGCCTTGGTCCTGCAAGGCCCCTGGAAGGCTGTGGTCGGGCGCAGTGGGGAGGGCCGGGGAAGGGCTCCTGGGCCACATCACGGCAGGGCAGGGCGAGGGCAGCGTGGCAGACCCAGGCAGCACAGGCCTCCCGGAGGGGAGCATGTGTACCGCCCAGCCTGCTGAGGGGGGCGCGCCTGGTCACCACACTGACCGCTGACCCTGGGGCTGCCGCTGCGCTGGTGGGCTACAGGGCAGGTCTCTGTTTCTGAAATATCAGTGTCCCTGAGCGTCTCCTGCCACACGTGAAGCCACTCGGTCAGTGTCACTGCACATCTCAGTTTCTTGAGGTCATACCTTTCCCGAAGGCTGTGCCAACCTCCACCCGTGGGCATGGACACACGGGTGGGCACCTCCACCCATGTGCGAGGACACATGAATGGGCACCCCCACCCGCGGGCGAGGACACACGGATGGGCACCCCCACCCGCAGGCGAGGACACACGGATGGGCACCCCCACCCGCAGGCAAGGACAGATGGACGGGCACCCCCACCCGTAGGCGAGGACAGATGGACAGGCACCCCCACCCGTGGGCAAGGTGCCCCATGTGTGCCCCTTGACTGTCCTGAAAATAAGATGTAGTTAGCAGAGGCTATGTGGGGTCTTTAATTTGTATGGTCTTATTACTAACAAAAGTGAATATTATTTTCTTTCCCTTCAAAATTATTCAGCTATATAAATCTGCCCTTCAAAGTTAAGACTTTTTGTGTAATTTGCTATAGGGTGCATGCACCTGTCAGATAGGGAGACAAAGGGAGAGAGAGGAAAGTGAGAAGTTACTCCTTAGGGGTGGCCACGCTGCAAACCCTTCTCCCTCGCTCTCCTCTCTGAACTCCGGGCATGCGCACGCACAGTGCATTGTCCAAGCTGCCGGGCCCAGAACCCCGCCACGTGGAACCCTGCTGTCTTGACCACCACGCCACCAGCTAGCCCCAAGGACATTAAAGTAATATTGCAACAGAATACAGCAAAACATTTCAGCAGAGATTTACAGACTTTATCACAGAAACGCCATTTTCTGATGAGCCGTTTTGTTATGTACATGGGTCTTCAAAGAGTTCACTGGAGCAAGCACGCTAAAAACTCTGCGTGGGTTTTAATTTTTTAAAATGTGTGAGAGAGTACATGTGTTCACTGGAGAGAGACGTGAGGGGTGAGGGATCGCACCGCACTCCCTGACCGCCGTCCCCTCGGGTACTGGGCGTGTGCTGCGGGCCGGGACTTAAGGCAGTGGGCCGTCTGCCATGTGGGATCCAGCCACCCAACCACCAGTGCCACCATTTTTTTGGTACCAAAGTAAACTCATACCTTAACTCCATCTCCCCGGGGCTTGTCCAGGTCCCCACTGTAGCTCGTTAGAACAAAGGTTTAAACAAGCCAAACATACCAAGTGGCAGGTGGAGGCCAGTGGCTGGCGCCTCAGCCCTGGCCTCTGCCGTGTCTCTGGGCCAGTCCCACCACACAAGTCTGTCTGTGTGTCCACACTGCTTGTGAGCCCGTCACAGTGGACCTTGGATCGGTGGGCTCGCTGACATCTGCGGGTTTTTGCAGAAGTCACACAGAGACAACACCCGGTTTGCAGCAAGGCACCCTGGGAAATAGGCCCCATGAGCTCCTCTCGTCTTACTGTGTGCATCCGCTCCCGTGAGGGCCTGCACACTCTGCACTGCTCGCTGGGCTCCGCCTGGCCCCTCTGGCCACCCTGCGTGGGGACAGACAGGGAGGTCCGTGCTGCCCGGGGCTGCTCCCCACCTGGTGCCCGCCCGGCCTCCCCCAAGGGCTTTGTGCCTGCCGTGTCTGGCTGACTGCAGGCAACCCCTGCCTCTGTCCACACCACAGAGGGCTGCACCGCAGCAGTGGGCTGCCACGTGGCCAGCCGTAGACACAGGTCAGGTCGCAAGCAGACCGATCCTGTGACAGGCTGGGGCACTCCCGAGGACAGTTGGGAGTCACACGGCCTTCTGCTGTAGCCAGCGGGGGACAGCGGTCCGTGGCACCCCCACGTGATCCAGGAGCGCCCAGCACTGTGTCTGTCCAGGAGAGCGGCCTCTTTCTGCAGACCCCTTCTGACTGCGGGGCCATAGCGGCTCAGCTGCCCAGTCGGTCTGCGGGCCCGGGGGGTAGCGGCCAACACACACCCAGCCCCGTGCGCACACAGCCCCACACAAACACAGTACATGCCCACTCAGCCACACACACACTCAGCCCCACACAGCAGCCCCGTGCATACCCAGCCCGTGCACACCCCCTGCCCTGCACACACCCAGCCTGTGCACACCCAGATTCAATAACTGCTTGTCCTCGGGACCCGTGGAGCACAAGGGCCATCCTCTGCTGCTGCTCCTGGGTGACTGAGGTTTTTCCCAGGGGCCGTGGGGACCACCTCCTCCCCTTTGCTGAGCGAGCACACCCTTCAGTGAGCTGTTGAGGGTGTGCAGGGGAAGAGCCGAGTGCCCCAGCCCCACTTGGCCTGAGGGTGACGCCTGCAAACTTGTCCCCCCACCCTTCCTTCCACGTGCTAAGAGCATGAGCCCCAGGCAGGGCAGGCCCGTGACGAGGCCGCGAGCTGATGTGTCCTGAGCAAGCAGACCTTTCTCGGGTGCCTGGATGGGAAGAAACCTCTCGTGGTACCCCAGGACACAGCAGGCCCCTTGGCCTCTCTAAATTCACGTTTTCTGGAAAATCACATAGTGGAAGGCCACCACCAGGAGGCTGCATCACACAGGCCCCAGGCTGAGCCATGTTGTCCTTCTGCCAATGGACTCTGAATTCTGACCACCAGCCTCTGTGGGTGGGACCCGTTTGGACCTGCCTTCCTCCACAAGGCCAGGGACCCGTGCCCGCTTCGCCCAGGGTTGACCGGTCGGCTGTCACTCGGGCGGGCCTGGGTAGGTGCCTGGCACCAGCCGTCCTGCCCTCGGGGGCCACGAACTGCTCTGGCCTGCCTTCGTCCTCACAGGTGCCTTCCTCGTCCCCTACTCCATCGCCCTGGTCTTCGAGGGGATCCC